TAAATAAAATCTTTAAAAAGGGAAGAACTATTAAATTCAGCAAGGTCCTGGAGGGGAAAAAAAAAAGCAAGATACAACAAGACAAAGAAAAAATAAATATAGCCTTCCTGGCTGATTTTCCTCCTATCCAGAAAGATCATGCTCTACTACCTTGAGAAGACCTCTCTATTAATTGGTAGGCAGCCAAAGGGTGCAATGGAAAGAAGTAGAAGCCATACCCTAGCTCTGGAGCTTCAAATTCTAGCTCCACCATTTGTTAAATGACATTGTGGCAGGCTACTAAACTTCTCTGAGCTTTAATAATGGGTTTACTTTAATTTAGAAGAAAACATTTTAAGTATCTAAACTGTACGCACACATTAAACCAGAGATTCTCAAAAGTGTAATTTGTGGTATGCTGAGGAAACGGATTCTTTCAGGGGGTTAGGAAGGTCAAACCTATTTTCAGAATAATACTAAAACATGATCTGCCTTTTTCACTTTGATGACATTTGCACTCAACCAATGGTGATTAGAACTGCTGGGGCCTTGGCATGAATCAAGGCAGTGACACCAAACTGTACCCAAATCAAGGCAGTGGTGGTCACTGCATAAAAATTATTAATTTTAGTATATATTGGTTCTTGGGTAGGCATAACATATTTCTGCTGCACACCTAAGTGCAATGGTTGTTTCAAGGAAAGCTTTTATGCCACCATGTTGATCTGCAGGCTGACCCAGCAGTTTCTCTCATGGAGTATCACTTTAACTTGAAAGAAAAACTAACAAACTATGATTATTCAGATCTGGGTATGTGACAGAAACTTCCTCAAAAATGAACAAAGTGAGCCGATCATTTCCCAGAAAACAACTATGATGGTTTCAGAGTAGGCAGTTAGTTAGGTTCTAATAGGATGCCTGCAGGCCAGCATACAGGAAGTCATTGCCAACTATGAGGAAGTCAGAGCCTGTCCTAGCAGCACTCAAAAACAAAACCACAAGAAACTGGACCAAACCAGACAGGTCCAAGGTGGCTGAGAAAGTAGGCCAAAGTTCACATTATTCCTTTATTATACTACATTACCATACCTAAAATCTCCTCCCTATAGGTGCCATGACAGGAAACCCCTGACCAAATAAGGAAGAAAAAGCTGCGCTTCCAAGAAATCCCTTCCTCAAGTAGTGAAGATTCCACACCCTTGTTAACAACTGTTAAGATAGAAACCCAGGGGCACCTGGGTGGCTCAACTGGTTAAGCATCCAACTCTTTTTTTTTTTTTAAGCATCCAACTCTTGATCTCAGCTCAGGTCTTGATCTCAGGGCCTTGATCTTAGGGTTGTGAGTTCAAGTCCCGCGTTGGACTCCACAATGGGTGTGGATAAAAATCCAAACCCTAGTGGACACCACTCTCCCACGCTCCCTGGAGCCCACTAGCATTCACATTTTGAGAGCATACTTTTGCTTTAATAAACTTTCCTGCTTGTACTGCTGTGTTGTGCCTGGCCTTGAAGTCTTTCTCCTGATGAGATCAAGAGCCTCTGGTGAAATCTTTTGGACAAGATGGGTCAAGAGCCTCACAACCCGAGGTCTCCCCAGTCTATGCGGCAACAAGACCAATGCCTTCTGTAAAGTAATAATTTAATATTTTGTGTGTAATCTAAAGAGGTCACAGTACTTCCTAAGTCCTTAAAAATTAAGTTGTTACAGATTATAAATTTCATGTAAACAGTAAGATGGAAAGAAAATTACCAGGTGGCCCAAAAGACCCTCTTAAGAACGTTTTAATGAGCTACTTTCTAAAGGTCATTTAGTTATCTGTCCCTTACTTCAGAAAACATGAATGACCCAGATTTCAAGTTACAATGGGTTTCAGCCTTCCTTCAGTGAGGGGAAGGTTAGCCCTCATTTGGAATGGTAGTGCCACTAACAGGTCACCTGGACCAACACTGTTAACATCTATGGGCTTCAGTTCAAAATAAAAGGATTGGTTTAGAAGTTTCTAAGGTCTCTTCATCCATCTCTAAAATCTTGATATTATAACTAAGATTCTAAAAAACATTTATGACCTGCCTCATTTCAAACAGAATCTGCAGTAGCTCATACCTCACATACAAATGTGGTATACCAGTACACACAGAAGAGGGGAGGGAGAAGGCAGGGGCGGGAGGGGGGAGGGGAGATAGAGACAGAGAGAAAACTAGAGTCAAGAGAAAAAAAAGGAGGGGAAGAAGCAAAGGCAGTATCAGAAATTTGCCATGACATACCCAATACTATCAACCTGCATTGTTTAACACAAATAGTTTTGTTTTTTGTTGTGGTTTTTTTTTTAGAGTAGGCTCCATGCCTAACATGGGGCTTGAACTCACCACCCTGAGATCAAGAGCCACATGCTCTACCGAGCCAGCCAGGTGCCCTAATGCAAACACATTTTTAAGTTAAGTCAGACTACTGAGAAAAACCATCTTTCTTACAAGGCATTTTCCCCCATTTTCTTAAAAAGTCTTTAAAAATGGATAGTTTAAGGGGCTCCTGAGTGGCTCAGTCGGTTAAGTGTCTGCCTTCAGCTCAGATCATGACCCCAGGTCTTGGGATGGAGCCCCACATAGGGCTCCCTGTTCAGTGGAGAGCCGGCTTCTCCCTCTCCCTCTGCGGCTCCCCCTGCTTGTGCTCTCTATCAGATAAAGAAATAAAATCTTTAAAAAAAAAAATAAAAATAAAAATGGATGGTTTAAGCCACCCAAAGAGCAAATATAATAAGCATACTTCACTTTACTTTGGAATTCAAAAAAATTTACTTTGTAGGCAGCCTTTCATTTCATTAAGAAGTCACTTTTCCAATAATTTCAAATATAGCACCTTGAGTTTACTTCTTGAACTTAAGAAAGAAATCAAAGAGAAAAATAAGCATCAATAGCCTTACGTCCCATTTGATGCCAGATGAAAAGAGACTGCCTGCCCATACCAGAAGACAGATACCAGGCTCCTAAGATCCAGCCTTCTTAGGACTCCAGGTCCAAGCTGGGAAGTGCAATCAAAGGAAGCCTCCAATAGCCTAAAGCCTTCTTCAGACTTAGTCCATATCAAGTCCATTTTGGAACTGCCCAAGTTTAAATTTCAAATAAAGGGCCTTGAATTTGCAAGAGGCAAGCAAGTATTCTCATCAGCTCCTCAGTTTTGAGGACCCAATTAAATATGGGAAAAAAAAAAAAACCTAAGTAAACTCCTTAAAAACTGGTTTTGCCTTCAAAAATATCTGAAATTTTATATTAAATGACACACCATGTAAGCAAAGAACCAGAAACATTTAATGCAAAGTTTCCCCGTGGCAAGTGTTGTAAAAGACCCGTAATCATAAAGATATCAGATATTATTTTAAGAACAAGGTCAGGGAAAGGTTAAAATCATGATATTCTTTCCTTTTCACAGAATAAACCATAGACAAAAGTTCATTAGCTGGCTGAGTCACTAAAACAAATAAAACTCTAGGAAAAAAGTAAAACCTCAAAATAACCCTAATAAGCAAAGTTCTTGGCAGCAAACTTTCATTTTACCATAACTGAGAAGTGAGAAGCAACTTTTCAGTTGAAAATACTAAATTCCCTTCATGTACCTTAACTGGTCTCAAGGAGCAGCATGGCACTTGAGGCCTGTGTTTTAACTAGGAAATCACTGTCTCTAGTACTGTGTGGGATGACCCCATGTCTTTCAATAGATCAATTTCTTCAACTGAGACAGTTGTTCTAGAAAATAAGTCACTTTATCCAGAGCCCTCAAGTTGCACAACTGTGGAGAGCAAGTGCCAAGTTCAGGGAGAGGAGCACATACCCAATCAGCGTCAGAGTATGGTTTCCTCCACACACTTCCACACTCTTTTAAGAAACATCTCCTCCTCTCTGAGAGTTCTTTATTGCCCAGAGTTTCCCCTTTAAGATACAAAAGCTGAATTTCTTCAGGGAGCAGCCCCCACCATTCCAGGCCTGCTCTGACCCCTAAGTCTCTCTTCAGGACATTTATGCTCTCTGTCCTCCCCGAGAGCAGCAGTGAGATGTATGAAAGCTACTGGGAGACTGGACAGCACTTCAAAGACATCAGGCATTAAAGAACGCATTTAGAAAAATCTCAATTCGCCTTAACAAAAAGCTGCCAAAGCACGGAATTGTACACTTTAATCAGGTGAACTTATAGTGCATACACCCTATCTCAATATACTGCTAAAAATAAAAATAAAGAACCACCAAACTGACAAGTTAAAAACAAAACAAAACAAAAAACCCCAACACAGCATTCTTCAGGATAAAGACCAGAGACTAAGCTCTGATGTGTTTCAACCTTCAAAATTAAACAAAATGAATGGCTGCTGGTACAGGCAGCAGAGACTAAACAAACTATTGGTTTGTTGTGCAATCACTGCATCTTAAAGCCTTCTCCAAAATAAAAGAGCCTAAGAGGGTGGTCCCCAAAACGAAAAATTTCACTTAGAAGTAATCAAAAAACATCACTAAGGTGCTTTTTTCCCCCTGCGTCTACTTTCACTTACGATATAATTACTATTGTAACAGCAAGTGATTAAAATTTGCAACCAAGAAAGACTACAATGTAAAACAGAACAGGAACTGATAACCAAAACCCTGGACAGTATTTTCCCAATACAAGTTCTACCGTTTCGTACACTATATTCCAGCTCCAAGGGGCTTGTAAATCACTTGCAAGGAAAGGAAGCCCCTTCCCCCACCAACCCAAGCCATCCTAACAGCCGGCCAGTTTTACAGCAAAAATGAAGCCTTCAGAGGCAGTTCCCGGGGCGTCTTGCAGGGCCAACCTCCCCGCCCGCCCGCCACCCGGGTGGACAGACGCCCGCGGGGCTCCCTGGGCCCGACGGCCACGCGGCAGGGCCCGGACCCCGCGGCCGGGAGGCCCGGGCACCGCTGGGCGCAGCCGCGTCTGGCAGAGGCTCTGGGTCGTGCAGGCCTTCCCCAAGGAAACCGAAGCTTCCGCCCGCCCGGCCCGGGGTGCCCGGTACCTCATGCTGTAGGCGCCGGCACCCAGCTCCTGCCCGATGCCCGAGAGGCTGGCGTCGAAGTCGTGCACCAGCCCGGACTCGATCACCTCGTCCATCTTGAGCACCCAGGCCATCTTCCGGCCTCGCCGCCGCCCGGCGCGGCCTCCGCGAGCAGGCGATGGGGCCGGAGCTCCGCGGGCGCGCCCTGGGGGAGGGCGCGGGTGAAGCC